GCTGCACCCTGACCATGGCCAAGATACTGGAGCACCTCTTGGTGGTGGAGGACCCTCAGAAGCTTCCATTCCATCGAACTACATTATTCTAAGCTTGGCATTACAACGCAAGTGCTCACAGGAGGTATTTCCCAGAGAGAAGACCTTTTGCAGAATATCTGCCTCAGTGCTTTGTAGCTTCGCCTTTAGTCACACGCGGGAGTGAAAGATTTCTGTAATAGACTGAATCCTATAGATAGAAATTCAGCTGCTGGGTACGCCACCAGTACTGTCTCAGGGGTCTATACTGCTGGACCATATTCAACCTCCACAGAGCCGCTGACCTTGTAGCTCAGGCCAGAGGTGCCGAAACCAAAGGCACAGGGACCAGCTGCTGACCAATGGCAAAGTATCACTCTGCACTCATTATTCAGCATCGCCTCCCTTCGTGTTACACCATAGTTCTTATTTCATAAGGCCCAACTCTTCTGCAGGGTGATCCAAAACAAAGCAGGGCAAAATTATAAAATGCCGGGCAGGAGAATCTTCTAGCAAAGCAGATATCCGCTATGGATAGGTTCTTCCTTCCATGGAAGCATCAAAGGCTGGCCTTGAAAGGGCATCCACCCAAATACCCCTCACTCAAAGACTCCTATTTTTACATCAACATGTCTTCTGAGCAGAACCTATCAGTTCAACAAATGTGAGACATGAACAATGTCCCACCAAAAAAAACATTGCCTAACCTGATGAGGACAGAACCGTCCCACAGTACAGAGAGAAAGTTTTCTGCCTGTGGGCCGTCTACAAAGGCTCTTCTTCAGGAAATCCTGCTGCATAAAAAATGCCAGTCACATGCAGGGCACAAGAGGTTCACTTTTATAGGAATTGTCAATCATCAAAAGGACTGCTCAATCAAAAAATTGTGTGTTAGGCAACATACCCTAGCACTTATATTTAGACCTGCCTTTGGAAGTTGCCTGCTTTCCTGCATTTTCCTCTTTAATAAAGTTTCGTTATTCTGTTCTTCCCTGTTACATGTGAGAATTTATAAAATATGCCTCCTTCAACCTACTTCAGCTAATTTTTATCACTGAATTCAATAACCTCAGAATAAGCTCATCCTCCCTTCTCCCTTTTCACCCTAATTAAGATGCTCTTAAACATCTCCCTTCTCTTTTTCCCTTGGCTGAAACCTAATTAGCTGTTGTAATTAAAACTGTACCCGAAGGGCTGGGCTTTGCACATATGTTGGCATTGTTCCAGGCAACACCATGGGGTTACTGCCAGGCCCAGGTCGCTCCTCAGCACTGGGTGGGACACCTGAGGGGCCTTAAATAAGATCCTAGTGAGGAGGTCTTCTGAGATTTTGTAATAAGGGCCTTGGGGGACTTTTGTGGATGTCTGGCGTGTTATCCATGTCTGGATAACCGTTTTTAAACGGGTTATCCAGGTATGTTGACTTCCAATAGTTCCTTCTATAGTACTCACTGGTGAGTTCAAAGTTTCCCCAAGTGAATGTGGAGGGCCTGCCCTAGAAGATCTTCCATCATTCAGCCCTATCCAGAAATTTTCCTCTGTTCATTGCTATTAAGGCCAGGAAAAAAAAAAAAAAAAAAAGCACATAACCCACTCACAAATGGATTAGTTCAAATTCTCCTTGTCTGAATGTCTTGCTTCAAGCCCACATAGAGGAGCAGGGCTGGAGAGAATTTCTTATGGTCACACCTCCAGCAAACGCGATGGTCCACTTGTGCTATTGCTCTCACAGGTAGCTGGGCCCCGAGAGCTGGGATGCTTTGTTCTCCGAGGGCTGACTAAGGTCATAGTTCTTCTGTGACTTATTAAAAACAAATAAAAGGCTGTGCCCAAGGCTGGCTCAATAGACATTCCAGATGATGGGGAAATCTTTCCTGGGAAAGGAATGAATTTCCAACAGCCCTCAGCTTTTTCACTCACACCACCTGAAATCAGTTCAAGCAAGACACTGTGGAAATTACTCCAAAGAGGCAAAATTTTCAGGCCTGTTCTGGAACAGGGTTGAGCAGAAGAAGGGAGAATTGCACCTTAGGTACTATACACAGGAAATTTGCAGTGTTTCAGGGTACCTTTTTTTCCCTTTTGCCTGTAATTCCTTTTTATCACGGACCCTTATCAATCAAGTCATAGAAACTATGACTTATTGTCATAGAAACATCTGAAGAAATCTGATTTTCACACACTCTAGCACCAAGTCAGAGGGTGGAGGCTTGGCCATGGGTGATGCAGCTCAGCCAAGGAGCTGGGCAACAGGAGAGGATGGGGCTGGTGCTCTATGAACTGCTGTTCCCAGGAAGCCATGGAAACCTCCACAGCAGTGCTATGGTTTCTGGGTATGCAGCAAGCACAGTGCTGGCACGTTCATGTCTCTTTTTTATTCCCTTCTCACAGCTGTGCCATGAGATTCACTGAGTTCACTACACCAGAATAATCTATGGTGTGGTCTTCATACAAAGACGACCATCAAATGGATAGTGACTTTTTAACTGTATTTAAAAAAAAAAAAAAAAAAAAGAATTAAAATCAATCAGCAAAACCCAGACCTAAAAGTTAGTGGGTGCAGGAGAGGGTGTGTGGTTGCTCTGCCCCTGTGACACTGACACCCACAGTCACAGAGCTGCTAAGAGGATTTGAGGCAAAGGACTAAACCATGGGACAACCTTAACAGGATCCCTTGACACAAGGATTCAAGCTGGTCTCAGCATCCACAGCCCTAAGCACAACCTGCTGGGGATTACTTCACATCTATATTCCCATAGACATCTAGAAAGGAAAGGAACTTATTTTAAGTTAAGGAATGTTTAAGTCAGCTAGATGGATTCACTTCGAACTGAAATTTGCTCAGGACTGTTCACAAGACTACATAGCCTCCCCATGCTCACCCAGCTTTGCTGCCCCACTCACTTTCACCATCTGGGTTTCTTTCACTTCATCCACCATCCCCCAGCCATCAAATAAGGATGAAAAATAGTATTGATTTTTGTCGTTATTTATTACAAATTAAATTTTGCAAATTACTGTCTAAAAAAATTCAATAGATTTAAATAAATACACAGATTTCAGGATGCTACATATGGCATGTGTGCAATAAGTCACAAAGATTAGACATTATACACACAAAGAGATATACATAGTACTTTACAGCAGTAGTTTTATTTTAAATTACTAGGCTCACATTAAATCATGTGCAAAGTTCCCTCTGGAACAAACACTTTCAGGATTTCTTTTAGAATGACTCAAACCTTCAGAAGGTCAAATATAAAAAAGTTTCTCTGCAGCTTTGGGGACCAAATGATTAATCTGCTGTTTCAAGTACGATACAATCAATTGGTCTCATTTTCCACCCCTCTAGGGCATAAAGCAAAATCAAGGAAGTATTCTGTATGTCCAATGGGACTACACTCGCAATAGCCACAGATTTTGGTCCACCACCAACATCACGCAGAGTTTTTAAATGCTCATGTGTAATACTGGATTGGGCAGCAAGGGGGACCCAACAGTGGTTCCAGGAGAGCAATTATTTATCTGCACAAACCAGATGACAGCTGCAGCCACGAGTTATAATAGAAGTTAATCTGCCCAGGCAAACAAAAGTGCATTTGTGATATAGCTCCAGAGCTTTGAGACCTTTTTTGCCTACAAGATTGGTTTCTAGGTCCTGGGCTCAGTGTTTTTTCCAAATTACTCCTTCCCTCCTCTGGGCCACCAGCACTGTGCTGCTGGGGAAGCAGCCATGATTCTGGCACGGGTTGAAGCCCAAGCCTTTCTTCTAAAGCTATACAGACAGTGTTGTGCTCTCCTCTTGGCCATCCTTTTCTCCACACCAATCCCACCTGGCTGCCCCTTGCCTAATGCATTCTCTATTCAGGTTACACTTCTCCTCATGACATGCTATCCATATACTGGTCATTTATTTAATAGAGAGTCCAACTCAGAGACCGGATCTAAGCGAAGCAGCAAGCAAGCCTTGGCGTGCTATTTCCCACCACCCATCTCCTCTGCCCCTAGCCTCTCCTTTCAGGCAGAGCTGAAAGCAAGCTGGGTTATTAGGTTAAGAGCTGGAAGTACTCTACCTGGCTAAGGATATGTCCAAGGAGATGAGATAGACTCACAGCACTGAACTCATCCGGACTGGCAGCTCGGCTCTGCCTCAGACCCAGTGGGGGTCCCACCCCCAGGCTACGTGGGGCTCCACTGCAGCCCCCCACCCCTGCTGCCGCCGTGCCTGATGGCAGAGTCATGCTTGGGTTTGATGCAAGCTGCGGTGTACGCAGGCTATCCTCCACCTAAATAAGAGCCACTTAAGGATGGCCCTTTGGTGAACTTCTCAGCCAAAGAATGCCACTGACTACTCAGTTGGCTTTCAGGCTTCTGGATGATAATTATTATTTTTCTTTAATAAAAAACGGGAGCTGATTTTAGCATGGGAGTCTCGTTCATGCGCACATCGCACTGTCTGACAAGTAAGAGAAAAAAGTGCAAAGGTGGGCTCACGCTGGAGGCAGTTTATCCCCATCTACAACGACCAGATGGACCACCTCTGAACGGGGCCAAGCTGGAACCACGCTCAAACATGGCCCGAAGGCAGAGCAGACCAGTGCCACGGGCTCAGTGCCGCCAGGTCCAGAACCGCACAGAGCCCTCTGGTTTGTAAGTGATTCAACCGCCCAGCGGGGGCTGACCCTCTGCCTAGGACTCCAGTGCAGAGTTAAGCTAGTACTCTACCAGCAAGACCCTTGCCTGATCCAAAAAGGCACAATTCAGCTCCACGACACATCTATGACTGTATAGAGAGACAGTTTTCCCTTTACAACAGTCTCTGAAGTGCATGCAGTACTGGTTCACGGAACAGGAGCATGGAGACTTCCACTTCTTCCCCCTTCCACTCATGGCCTTTCCTTCAGCTCTAACTACCGACAGCGGAGTTAGCGGCACCCGCAGGGCTCCAAATTCTTCTGGTGAACTTGGTGTGCACCTGTTTCTTATCTCTTCTTCTTCCAGATGTTTTTCTTCCAAGGCAAAACCGTTGGCTGTGCGTTCCTCCGAGAACGGTGTTGACGCTTGCCAAACCGCAGACTGGAGACGGCAAGTTCCCTGTGACAGAAGAGACACCATGTTCATTCTCCAGTCCATTTTCCTACTACCCGGCAACAGCCCATGTTACAATATTTATCTACCCCTCGCCAAGATTTATTCTGAGGCAGGAGAGGGGGGAAGGAAGAGGGGGAATTTCCAGCTGCAGCTGTATTAAGCCACAGCGGAGATGCCTCTAGCCCAATATCCCGTTCCCACCGGTGGCTGAGGATTCAAGGAGTCCTGCAGCAGAGCATGACCCAACTGATGCTTCCCCACATCTGCCTTTCAGAACTCGCTCCCATCACAACTGACCACCAATGGACCAATCTTCCTTCAATCTGCCAATTCCCTGTAACTCATTGACACTCCTGGAGTCCACAGTTTCTCCTGGCAATGAGTTCCACAATTCAGTGATGTGACGTGAGAAAAACTATTTGCTTTGGTCCAAAGCTGCTGTACAGTCAATCATTTTCCTGGGTGATGCCGTCCCTCCCTCCTTCTTATACATCACCCGTTTGCCTGTCCCATATCAGAGGAATTTCCCACTCCAACCGAGAATTACATTTTATATAATATTCCTCTAGTTTTGGAGGAGACAAGAAACGCTGGTTCCCTCAGCTGTTAGCCTTCAACTCTACAAAGCACAGAAATAGCCAAGGCTACTCATTTAAAGGGAGACGAGACGGGGAAGTCAGGTCTAATCCAAGTAGCAACTGCAGCCTGGGGTTACAACCCCAGATTTTAAAGGGCTTACGAGGGACGTTCAGAGTGGGTTTAAATGGCTCACCTGAGAGCTCCCAGCGGGCCGTGATGGGACAGCCTCATGCCACCACCCTGAGGAGTCTTCACTGATGCTCCAGAGCTCACTGAGAGCTTCAGACTCTGCAGGTACCTAATGAGGAAGAGGAGATGTGTGAACCACTCGCACCCAGCCGTGCTATGGTAAGTACTGGGGGGAGAGCTGCTCTAAAGTCACCCGTGACAGACACGTGTGTTTTTGAAGGGTTAATTGCAGCGATTTGAAAGCTATTTATAGCTCACTTTTACTTCCATCCTCTTCTGTCCTCGCTCTATTCAGTCATATTTAATCATTGGGGATTTTAACTATTGCCTTGATTTTAAACTAATGACAGATCTCCACGACGACTTTGCTCCCCACCTCCCTGCAGTGCAAGCACTCCTCTGCTGCTGGCTGCAGCGAGATGATGGAAAGCCCACGTGCACTACCAACAGAGCTGCCTACAGAAGATACTTGACTGCTGAGTCCCAGCTCTCGGCAGTCCTGCTCCCCTGCAGCCTCTCCCACCCACAGCCATGCAGGAGACGCTGCTGTCCCAAAGCCGCACACCCTCCGCTTGTCCCTCTCCCCACGTGCTGCCATCTCCCCCCATCCCACCAGCGCACACAGCCCTTCCTCAGCCGCCCGCCCGCCCGCAGGAGGGATGGAGGTGACATTGCTTCATCTCAGCCAGTAAAGAGGCTATTGTACAATGAAAACACCCCAGGGACACTTTGCCAGGGCCTCTTGGGAGGGGTGTAAAAGCCACTAGACAAGTTCCAGCTGTTTGCAAAGAGCGTCTGTCGGGCTGCCCCAGCTCCCAGGCTTTGTCCCTCACCGAGCAGCCCCCAGGGACGTCCCCAGGACCCCCCCTGTGACTTACCCAGGCTTTGCCTGGCAGAAGGTGGCACAGATGCTGTCCCTGGAGTGCGAGCACTGGCACCTGCTGAGCGATCTCTTGCGCCGCCTTGGCGGGCTTCCCAAGCCATAGGGAGCAGTGTGGCTGTTAAAAACAAAAGAAATCAGCTATGCAGCTAACTTTTTATTAGCCAACAGGTTTATAATGCAGCCCTGGGAGGCAGCCAAGCCAGCACCAGGATAATAAAAGACTCATCTATAGACATAAGGTGAAAAGGTCACTGATATGTCTTAAGCCTTTAAACTCCGGCTCCTCTCCCACCTCCTCCTCTCCCCACCCTACCCCTCCCAGGGAGATTGCCGTGCCAGTGGGTGCTGGCTCGCAAGGGGAATTTTCTCCCCTTGCAGCAGACCAGGCGCCCGTGCAAGGGTCGCCGCACGGGCTGGGGCGAGCTGGCGGCTCACCTGGGCGGCAAAGCGCCGGAGCAGCGTGGTTGCCCCGCTCCGCCAGCCCCGCTGGCAGCCAGCAGCCGGATTCTCAGGCATGGAGATGTCAGGGCTTCACACACACACACACACACACCCCGCCGTGGGTTCTAATGCCCAGGACATAGTACGAATCAAGATGTCTTGGGGCCACAACAGGTTCTTCTGATCGCAGCACGCTTTCAGAGCTGTTAGCACATTCCCGCTCCATCTTTGATCGCAATCTACTCTCCCAGAGGGTTCAGGATTGGCAGCGACTGCAACTATTCTCCGAGCAAGCAGCGAGTTGTAATTGCACGTTTGCGAGCATGATTATAACCGCACCTGAGTACATGTGTTTTGCTACAGTGTGATGGCCATTGGTCTGAAACCGCTGGGAAAGCTGCCGGAGCATTCCTGAGGGCAGGACTTGGCAGCCGCGGGACGGTAGTGCCAGCCCAGCGCTGCCTCATTACTGCTGCTGGCAGCCGGCGGTCGGGGTTACAGTGCGCCAGTGGGGAGAGCAACTTTCCGTCTCGCAGTTCTAACCTCTCGCTGCTGCTTTCGGCGTGCGGAGGTAAAAAACCTCCGAAAAAGATGAGCCCACGAGGAAGCAGCGCCCTGTGCTTTCCCCCCCGCAAACACCTCCCCTGTGGGTTTCACTGACAGTCCAGAGCAGAAGCACAGCTCGTCCCTTTCTAGATGTTGGAGAGGACGGGACACCCAACGCTCCCCCGAGCAGGTGCTACACAAACCTCACAGCACTCACCCTTTCTCCCCTCCTCTGACCAAACCCCATCCTCCACCACAAAAAACAGCCACTTACTCATCAACAGAGCCACCCCCACCCCCCCTAGAAAGCGAGGTTCCTGCTCACCCAGGTGTGTTGACCCAGATGATGTCCAGGTGACAGAAGTAAATGCATTCCTTATCCAGCCAGCTGTTGCAGGAGCAGCGCTTGGTCCTGGGGTGTGCGGCCAGGGGGGACTCCGGTGGCAGATGGCCCATACCTGCAGCAGAAGGAAGGAGGGATGAGGCACAGGTTCGGCGCTGGAGTGCCCCTCCGTATGTCACCTCCGCAATCACACCTCCGGGAAGGGTTACGGCGATTTCGATACACAGGCGGTTTTACAGGAGGCGCCTTAAGGATCTGCATCACCCTGGCAGCTGCAGAGGAAGAGAGGGCACCCCACGACACCCCCCGCACCCTCC